CCCCCCCCAGTTCATTTTCCTCTGTGCCTGGCTGCACTCTCTCCACTAGGGGTCCGCCGGACAGCTGAGGAGGCGGCGGCTGGGGAGGTGAACTTGTCTTCATCCAACTCCCCCTATCACTACTCGAAGGTGACCTATAGCCAGGAAGATGTGGACAAGCTGCTCCACCTGACTCATTATAACATCTGCAACAACCGGGAGCGGCTGCTGGAGGCCCTGCGTGAGGCTGTGCGGCGGCGGAGGCAACGCAAGCAGCGCCAGCCCCAGTGATGGTGGCACCCAGGCCAGAGCTCCCACCCGGCTCACTGCCCATCTGGCTGCTCTGGTAGAGTTGGGGCAGAGATGTCATCAACAGGTGTTCCACAACCTCGGGGGGTGTGGATGGCCCCGTAGGTGGCCCCCAGCCCTCTGAGGGGCTCCTCCACGCTGTGTACCCAGCACCACCCAGATGTGGCACTGAAGCCACCAGCAGCAAGCCTGCCACAGACACCTCCTGGTAGGTCGAGCCTTCTAAATGGTCCAGAGAGTAAGGAGACGATTCAGAGATGGAACTGGGGGAGCAGCACTGACCATGTTTGTGCAGGGGCTCAAAGCCCCGTGACCTTGTCTGTTCTCCCTCCCTTGCTACCTTGAGTAGTTGTACAGCATAAAATAGAGCACTTTATGTATTAGAGGCTCATACACACATGAGGCATTATCTGAGATTCTGTCATTGCTGCCAAGAAGGGACATGTTATTCCAAGCTCTTGGTTACACAGGGCAAGGACTGGTTTAAGAAATAAAATGTTTCCCCAGCCACCTCACGGAGCTATCGAGTCAGCATGAGCTTCCCTAAAATGTGGGTCATCTGCCCCTGGCACCCTTTCTCAGCAGGAGGCCAGTTTGGCCTTGGGGGGGAGGGGGTCTCTGCTGCTGCAGCCCTCGCCCTGCCCAGGTGAGCACACTTGCAGGCAATGACAGTTAGCACCCCTGACTCACCTGGTCAGGAACCTCAGCGGGCAGCCAGACCTTGGACCAGATGAGCCAAAGAAAGAGACTAGCTGCATAGCTTCACCAAGCTGTGACCTTGGGGGTCCCATCACTTAACGAGGAACTGTCTACTCCTGAAGTCAGTAGGGCCCTGGTAGCTGCCTTGCTCTGGTCCCCTACAGGGTGTCCTCATGTGTAGCCCTGCGGTTTGGTGGTACTTCAGGGTGTGCTTCAGGGCCCAGACCTGTGGAAAGAACAGGGAGGCAGAGTGAATTTAGGGCCTCGTGCTCCTGGCTTCCCTGGGAACAACCACCTCTTCCTAACGTCCATGTGGGATGTGGATACTGGGAGCCAGCAGGCAGCTGCAGGAGTGACCATAGCGTATGGGGTGGATGGGAAATGACTGGTTCTCACTGCATCTGTCTGCCCTGTCCCAGCGACTCAGTCCATCACCTGGGCTTGTGGCTAGAGTCACAGAGCAGAAATGGCTGCCTTAGTAGCCTTAGAAGCCACTGTGTCCAGGACAAGGCCATTCACTCAGCCACATGTCACCTGAATCATAAATTGGAATCTGTGGGCCCTGCAGGAGTGTGAATGGTTAATTTACCAGAGACCCCAGTCATGGCTGCCACCCCTGTTATAATGTGAGTGCTCCTCCGGCATGAGCTGTGTGTGTCTTTGTGACCCTGGGTTTGTCTCAGTGTGTGAATCTGTGTGGGGGTCTGCAGGTGTGTGTCTGGCTGACATCCTGATTCCTGGTCTCTCTAGGACAATAAGGTACCCCTTTCCCCTTGGAGCAGGGACTGGGTCCTAGGACTGAGGAAAGCAGAGAAGATGGAGGCAGAGAACTTGGACAGGAGTAAGGTTGCGGAAGGGGTCTGGCTGTCCTGCATACAGTGCCCCGTCTTGGAGAGGAGAATAAGGATTGAGGGTGTGTGGGTCCCAGGTGGACAGAGCCAGGCAAGCTTTTTAGCATATACAAAGGTACCTGGGTGCCCCTCACCTCGGATCTGGCCTGAGCAGGAAAGGTGGGAGCCTGGTGCAGTTTCCTTTGCAGGGCCAGCCGCCTGCGGAAGCTCGAAGGGCCCTGGGGGGCCATCGTTGCACTTTTGCGGGTCCCTCAGCGAGGAGGGTGGGGGACAGCCATGGAATCTGGGGAAAGGGAGCCTCATGACCCTGATTCTGCTGTCAGTGCTGAGAGTGAGCAGGGGTTTGCACCAGACGGGGTGGGTGGTCAAGGGTCTCAAGCGTGGGGGTTACTCCATCCACTGGCAGTCTCAGGACCTCAGGCTTAAGGGGCAGCATCTGTGCTGGTCATGGAGGCTCAGGACCACCTCCCACACACATAGGTGCCCTACCTGTGTGGAGAGGCCGTGCTGGGCACCTCCTCAGCAGTACACTCTTCCAGGAAGTCCAGAGGTCTGGCTCTGTGCTCTGGGCTTAGACTGTGGGCTGCAGAGCAAGGGAAGAACACTGGTCAGCCCCAAGCCAAATGCTTGGCCAGCTGCAGGCAGAGTCCCTGCGTGCTCCCTCCTCCTGACTATGGTCTGAATGTACCCCCCACCCCAAATTCATATGTTGAAATCCTAACCTCAAGGTAGTAGTAGGAGGGGCCTTTGGGAGGCAATTAGGTCATGAGTGTAGAGTCCTTATAAAAGAGAACCCAGAGAGCACCCTTGCCTTCCACCATATGAGGACACAGTACTACCTGCAACCAGAAGATGGTCCTCACCAGACACCCAGTCTGCCGGCACCTTGATCTTGGACTTCCCAGCCTCCAGAACTGTGAGAAATAAATGTCTGTTGGTTACAACCTAACCCAGTCTGTGGTATTTTTGTTACAGCAGCCTGAACAGACTAAGATGCTTCTGCTTCTGGAGGCTTCTGTGCACCGAGCACTGTCCATGTGGGGGTGCTATGCAGCCAAGCACCCCGCGGGCAGATTCCCCCCAGTGCATCCCACCTCCTAGAGGGCTAAAGGCTGGTGGGCTAAGGCTCAGCCTGAAGGAGATTGTGATGAAACTCAGAATCCCTTTGGGATTCTGAAGGACAGTCTCAAGGAGATCCCAGGGGAATAAAGATAGTGTGAGGAACAGAGCCAGGAACCCAGTGAGACCAGGAGCAGCAGGAAAGGGGCTCCTGGTGGAGCCCTAGCGCCTCAGGACATGCCCTGAACACAGTCCCTCCCAGCAAAGGGTCCAAGGGGCTGCTTTCTCTGCATTCCTCCTATTAGTAGAGCTGGGCCTGTCTACATAACACCCCAAGGGAGGTGCATTCAGGACATGGGAGGACTTGAAGGATGGAGAAGTCCCCAGGATTAGAGCAGAGCCTGGAAAAGCCCCTGGGGACCTGGATGGGCTCGGGAATCAGAGCGGCAGACTCCAAAGGAGGCGGGTGGGACCAGGAGGCAGTCAGGGAATCAAGCCGGGCCCCACCTCTGCTACTAATTAGCTGTGTGACCTTTGGCAAGTTGCTCACCCTCTGGGCCTTAAATTCTTTGCAAAAAGTAAGTTTCACTTACCATGAAGGCTATATGGGTACTAGGTGTGAAACTTCAGAGGATGATTTAAGCACCAGCAGGTTGATGCCCAGGGAGTCAATGCCCCCTCCCCACCTCCTCAGGGTTCCCCTAGAGCCTACCTGTTGCACTGCTCAGGGCTCCATGCCAGCTTTCAGCCTGCCCTTTAGATGGTGCTGCAAACAGGATCTCTGCCCCACTGCTTAGCCTGCCACCAGACAGCCATGAGTCAAACTCTCTGCCTCCTGAGGGGACCCTTGGCTCCGCGCCTTGGCTGCCCCCACTGCCTGCGGAGTCAGTATGTCTCAGGGCTAGTGTGTGTCTCCCCGTGTAGCCCTCACCTTAAGGAGAAAGTATGTTTCATGTCATGGCAGTCCCTTGGCCTGTCACACTGGGCTCCCACAAGGTCAAGGGTGGCTGTGGAAGCCACATTCTGAGGAAAGATGACAGGCAGGGGTCACCATAGCCATTAGCTTTTCCCTGTGGGCCTCTGTCCTTGTGCCCCCCACCCCCCACAGCCCTGTACCTCCTCTGCCATCTTCCCCTCCTGGAACAGGCTCAGGGAGTTGCCCATAAGATCCCACTGTAGCCATCCCAGGGGCTCAAGCTGGGCTGTGGAGAGAAGGCAGTGAGGTTGCACCAGCTGCACCAGGACCAAGGTGCCTCAGGTGGGAGGGAAAGAGGGAACAACTTACAACTAAACCAGAAGAGGAGCCCCACCTCCTACCTGGGTTGGCACAAAAGCTGGGAAGTGGTCCCAAGAAGAAACTAAGAATGGGCAGGGCCAGGGGAGTCTACCCAGAGTCCACAATGCCAAGGGGCCAGGCCTGATGGCTCCTCTGCAGAAGGGAGCTGCCTGGAGGAGTCTTCTGCCACTTACCTGCCACCTCCCAGGCAGGAGCTGCTACTTAAGCTCCAAAGACCCCTCCATGGAGGGCGCACCCTTCACATCCTGGAAATGCAAGATAGGGTCAGGGAAACATCAGGACCAGCACAGAAGATGAGGCCCCCTGTGGAAAGGGGCTGGGTACCCACTCCTCCCAACCTCCTCCCAACCTCATTGTCGACAACCCCCTGGCCCCTGGGCCTCAGAGCTGGCTCCAGGGTGTGGCCTTTACCCCCATGGCCCCTGCTGCCTGGCTGCCTGCTCTGGAGACACAGTGGTAGACAAGGGTATGCACTGGCTGAATGGGACACCTGGCTGCAGGTCCCTTGTCTCAGCCAGCTGTGCTCCTGGCCACCAGCTTCCAACAGGCCTGTGCTGGAGGGAGGTTAGCCTGCTGCCAACTCTTCCAGGTTTTAGCTCCTTCGCCTGTTCTATCTGGGGGAGGGGAGCAAGGTGAGCCAGGCCAGGGCATGGGGGGCCCCATGCCTAGCCTCTCCTTCCCACACCCCTCCCACCCACAGAGAGCCCATTTCCCTTCAGCTCAGGAGACTTCCCTCATCCCAGCCCACAGTGGCATCCCAGCCTATGAGGATAAGGGGGGCAGCACACTGAAGCTGGCAAGGGTAAGGGCTTTTCCTGAAAGGTCAGATGGCTCAGTGCCCTGGGGGAGACCCCGACTTTCAGGCTGAGACGGCCTACTCCCACCACCAGCCCTCAGGCCTATCTCCTGGGGTTCCCTTGCTCCAGCCTCTCTTACCCCTGCCTTCCTGTGCAGTTGGACAGACTTCTCCTCCTGGGCTGCCAGCAGCTTTTTGAAGTTCTGGTGCCTGTGGAGCAGCAGCTCCACATCCGACACTGAGTGCTAGGGAGAAGCAAGCCAGGGTGAGGCCCGGCTCCCAGGGGTGCTGAGAGCCTTCCCCTCGCCTTCTGCAACCGTCCTGGGGGTACAGTGAGAGAAGGAGCAGCAGGCTGTAGCTGCTGGATGGTACAGCAGGAGAGAGGGCAGGGCCTTGGCTCACCCCACAGTTGGGGTCCAGCATGAGGCCCTCCCGGGAGGCCAGCCAGGCCTCAGCCTGCTCCAGCCCCTGCCGCAGTTTCTGTAGGCCCCAGCTCTCCTCGAAGCATGCCCTGCTCAGGGCCCAGGCCTCCTCCAGTGCCTGCAGCTGCTCTTCCAGCTCCTGCAGACACTCTGTTACTTGGAGGGGAGGGGGTACTTCAGGTGAGATGTTGGGCAGAGCCATCCAGGTAAGGCAGAGCTGGAGTGCCCAGCAGAATTTGAGAGAAGGCTGAGAGGCCTAGACACTTCCTTCTCTGTCGTCTCTCCTCCCCTAGCCTGGTCTTTCTCTCCCACTGGCTCCACTCCCACTAGGGGTTCTGAGACCTTGGGTAATCAGGTTCTGAGCCCAGCTCAATGCCAGGCCCACCTCTGTGCTTGTACCTCCAGGAACATGAAGTGGCCATTGCCTACCAGCTGCCACCCCTCCTGCTGTACATCCTGGGCTCGAAGGCTGTGCTCCTTGATTTCTTGCCCCAGCTCCTCGTGCTGCCCTAGGAGCCACTCCACCTCTGCCACGTCCACAGCCAGCTCCTCCAAGGGCACGAGCGCCTGCTTTTCTTGAGCCCATGTTCTGTGGAGCAGGCAAAGGAAGCTGCTGTCAGGGCCTGGAGGGCACCCAGGGGAGGGGGGCGGGCAGGGCAGGAGCTGTGCAGGAGGAGGTGGAGTCCAGTTCTCCAAAGAGCTGGGGTGACCCCTGCCCTGCAGGACAGAGCTGCGCCAACAGCTGAGGGAGGGTGCCACCTACAGCAGCTCCCGACAGCGTCTGAGGAAGGTGCGGCCCTGGGCAGCCTGCTCCAGCTGCTGGCCCCACTCCTGGGCCTTTGCATCCAGGGCGGCCCAGGCCTCCCGCACTTTGGCCAGCTGTTGGGCCAAGCTTCCCTGAACTGCAGGTTGTAGCAGGCCCAGCTGGTAAGCCTCCGTCTGCACCTGTGCCACCTTCTTCGCCACAGCTGCCAATTCCCTCTGCTGCCAAAACACAGGATCAGACCTCACTCCCTGCTGCACACTCCTCATTCAGGGAGCATCCAGTCCTCTCTGAGTCCCGCCCTGCTTCCCAGACTCTCCCAGGCCACCTCTGCTCAGCTCCACAAGCTGGGCAAGCAGTCCCTAGGCTGGGAGGGTCCTTGCCTCTCACCTCTGGGGTCCCCTTACCCACCTTCAGGGAGTGGCTCAGACAGGAAACCCACAGGGTGCAGACCCTCACCTCTAAGTGCCTGTGCTGTTGCTGCAGGGTCTGCATCGATGACAGGCTGTGGTCACAGGTGTCTCTTGCCATCAGGATGGCCTTCTGCATCCAGCTCCAGAGCTCAGCCACTGCCTGCTTAAAGCCACGAACCTCATGGGCTGCAGCCAGGTTCTGGAAGAGGAGGGAAGGTCTGCTCTGGGCTTAGCTTATTCCCAGGGTCCTTTCCCCCTGGAGTCATGGCCTCCTGGGCTACCTCCTTGTGACCAAGGAGGGCCATGGGGCTTGGTGACTCGTTTATGACCGCCAGGCACAGGAAATGTCCTGGATGTGGCAGCTACTCAATGAATGTGGGTTCGTTACTGATGATGTGGTCCGGCCTCAGGGGGCATTCTGTGAGCAGAGGTGCTCAGGGCATCCTGATGAGAAAGGCAGAGATGGAGGCTCTGCAGTGGGTGAGGATGGGTCTATGTGAGGGAGCAGGTTGGTTTGGGGGCATCCGTCTGGCTGAGAGGAGAG